GCAACTGCTACTAAAGGCTACTATACCATTACACCCATTAATTGGTTTTACCCAACTACTTTTAAAAAGCTGTCACCTAAACTTCTGCTTTTTATCACTTTAGTTGTAAAAAAAAAAATCCTTCAAAATTTTAAAACTGATCTACAGAGAAGATAAGGTTCTCTCTGTTATTAGACCTGCTTTTTAGGTTGATTTCTTCTCATCATACATGGCTCAAGTTTTTCTAACAAGAAAAATAAACTCCAGAATCTGGTTTTTTTACAATCCTGTTTAATTTAGTGTTATAAATTCACCCCAAAAGTGAGTGCGTTTTGGGGTGATTGTTACACATAGATTTTTTTTTTTTTAAATATGGAATGGGCAAAGGGGAAAGCATCACCTCCTTATCTTGGAGGTGTTCAAAAGGAGATTTGACAAGTACCTGGCTGGGGTTACCTGACCCCAGCAATCTTTCCTGCCCAGAGGAGGGGGTTGGACTCGATGATCTAATAGGTCCCTTCTGACCCTAGAACTCTATGAAATCTATGAAACATAGCCTTTGGTCTCCATTGGTAGCTGAATATTATGCCATGTTTATCTTTAATCATTTGTGTTTGTATGAACCATGATTTTGGGTAAACTTGTAATTTCATGTTTTATAAAATTTGACTTGCATCAGACAACAAGGTGTGTGTCTGCTAGATTAAGTTTTCCTGTTCAGATAGACAGTACTATTCACAAAAAGGAGCAATCACTAAGAATTCATGTTTGAGATGGCTATGTATATTTTGGCCTGCTTAAACAGGCGCATACGTGAGCCCACAACAAACAACAGTGATTTGAAATGGAAGAAGCATCACCAGGGAGGTAGTCTAATCTAAGGCTTTTTGGAGTAATAAGTAAAATATTCTCTCTGTGGGATAACTGATACTGAAGGGTACTGGATTTGTAATGTAGAGATCTGAAAAAAAACAAATATCTTCTAGATACAGTTGGATCAGGGTTGATGCCCGACTTATCAAATAGATGCACAACTGGGAGATGAAGTGCCCGTCTTGGCTGGGCACTCCCTCCCTCACTGTGGGGAACTCAATCTGCACCCGCCCCCCACATCCCTTCCCTTCCCCAAGCCTCTTCCCCCACACAGACTTACCAGCCAGATGCTGCTTTCCAAGCTGCCGGGCTACACATCAGCTATTAGATTAGTATCAGCCTATATGGCTGGTTATTAAAATCGACCATCAGTATACCAAACAAAAAAAAAACAAAAACAAAAACAAAAAAAAACAAACAAACAAACAAACAACAACTTAAAAATAGGTGCACCCCTACTTTCTAGCTACGTTTTCCTTTATTTGTATTCATTAGATCAGTCCTCTTTTTTAAAAAGCTCTGAACTTACCAAATACAGTTACAGTTGTTGACGACTGTGCATTTCCTAGTGGGAATGTAACTGCTTTGCATACGTACTCTCCTGCATCAGAGAAGCTCACATTGTTTAGGCTGATTGTTGCATCAATGAGCGAAGAGTTTTTAAATGACACTCTTCCATGGTATTCTCTTTGAACAGAAAACCCATATTCAGGATGATGAACAACAACAGTTTGTGCACTTTTACCATGTATCTTCTCCCATGAGATTTGTGTTATTGTTTCATTTATATCAATTATGCATTTTAACGTGACATTCTTCCCCCAGACTGCTGTTACGTGTGGATCAACAATCGGTCCAGCTAAGGCACCTAAAGAAAGACATACAAATAAAATGACAGTTGAATTACACAATGCAAGCAAATAGGATCATAAAACGTTTCACTCATTTTTCTAGTACACTTCTGATTATTTCATTTGCTATTTTAATAAATAGGGCATAAAGATTAAAGCAGACTTCTAGTTTTGCTCGGTAGACAATTTACTATCATACTTATGATTTACACCTACAGCTTCCAACCTTTTGCTTGGAATTTTACATTTATCTTATCCGAGTTACAAACGATCTTACTATTTGTAAGATAGTTAGACAAACTATCTGCAACTATATAACTCCTGGGGGCTTTGGTCCTATTTATCCAAGCAGCTGCAGCACACAGCTCAAGTCCAATTTCCAAAAGTCACAAAGGATGGGATAGTCAAAATGAAAACAATGTTTCCTTGGTTTCCAGCCTTCAAATTATTTGACCTTTATATATACACTATTAATCCTCACATAATTATAGTTAACTGCACTTACCCCCAAAAAACCTCTTTCAATTGTTTTTATTAATTTCTTTAGGCATACTAGAACAGCTTAGTATCTGTATTAAACATTTTTTAAAATAGGTCTGTCTATAACTTTTCTGACAGTAACGGCAAGCACAATTGGTTTAATATGCTTACACATATCAGTCTGAAGAAAAGTAAAAACTCCTACACAAACCACACACTTTGGATTTAAAATTCCTAGATTCATTCCAGCTGGTACTTTATCACATACAACATGCCCCCAAATAAGATATACACTTTGTTCTGGAGAGGTAGAATGAAGAAAAATGTAGAATGAAGGTAAAAAAAAAAAAAAAAAAAAAAAACCAAAAAAAAAAGTATTTTCAAGGAAAGGTTTTTAAGTACAGTATTTTCCCGGGGCGGGAAATCAGACAGCTGCAGTAGCAAGGAGAGCAAAATAGCGTGGCTGCTTTATTAAATCTTAACTGCAAGAAGTTGCAGGTGCTGCTGGCTAAGCCAGGATGCCCAACCCCACTTTGCCCCTTGAGCTAAGCTGGATGGGCAGCTGTCAGTACCTGCCAGGTCAACTGAGGGCCTGATCCTAGCCAGCAGCCCTTACAGAATTAACTAACTGAGAGCCCACCTGTGATTTAGTCTGTGGCATGATACCCAAGACTCAATTCTACTTTAGAAAAACAGCTTTTGCAGTATGAGCCTCTGCTGTGGGAAAACAAAAAACGTGTGTAGGCAGCAGCTAGGGAGCCCTGAGGGCTTAGTATGCGACCCCTTATGCAGCACTTGCATTAATTTTCTTTCTTCTCCAGCAGAGGGCAGAGCTTCAGGAGTAGGGACAGAAAATACACAAAAAACAGTATAAGAGACTAGAAACTTGTTCAAATCAGTAACACAACAGAAGTTCAGCGCACATAAATGATTTTCAAAATGGTTGAAATTGGTTTAAGATAAACCTGGATGAATGCAATATCAGACTTCACCGATTCAGGTTAAATTGGTTTATTGAACTTGTCCCAGATCACCTCCAGATTCAAGTTAACTTAACTTACAGTCCCTCAGCATCCCAGGATGCTTTACATCTTCTCCCCTGCAAGCCCCCCCATTGCAGGGTAGGTGAGCTAGCCTTAGCCCAAGCTGTCTGCTCCAGCTAAGCAGGGAGGTGTGCCCTAGTGCCCCCCAGCTTCTGGCCTGGGCCACTACTGGCCTGGCTGCACTTTTGGGATCAAAAGTGAATGTCTGTTCCCTTACTTATCAGTTCAATCTGCACAGTTTAGACTAACCCATGAAGACTGAATTAATTCAGCCTCAGGATTTTTGACCGTCTGTACTTAGCAACTTCTGGGCTATAATCATACTTCCTTACTTAAAATGTACATGCCAATTTCTAACAGCTGATTTGGGGCAGAGGGAGGGGGAGGAACTGCACGTGTGGTATGAACAAACAACCAGTACTAACTAACTGGATACTAAGTGGAGTTCAAGTTCTCCCCTTGAGCAGTTTGCAACAGCTTCCCCTACACTGAAGGAGACTCAGTCACAAGTAATCAAGTACCCCACATGTTAGTGACTAAGTTCTGTATGTCCAAGTGAAATCATAGACAATAACTGCAGTCAGGCTACAAATTCTGATTGTGGAGTAACGCAAACATGAATTGTTGCATTTTCTCATCTCTGAAGAATTATGCAACATGGAAAGTAATTCTGATCATATGCTAGCCATCAAAATACTACAGAAGTCTACCAAAGATTAAAGTAGCATGTTACTCCAGCCATTAGCAGTAAATTGAGATGATAAAACACACCATATTTAACTATTTCTCAAAAAATAGCTTTCCTGTAAATTCCCATTCTTGGATCCTGTTGCCAAAGTCAGTTTTTAGTTATAGATCTGTTCTTTGAAACAGAACTACTGCAAAAAAGTTGTGTCTTATTTTTCTATTCCAAGAATTTCTGCATACACATTTCATATTGAATTAAGTATTAAGAAAAAAGCAGTGCCTATTACAACACATGCAACAGGATTTGTATTTCCCTACCTAAGGACCTGGATTTAAAAAAATATGTTAAGTAGGTTGCCCAGCATTAAGTAGTCTGAATATTGACCAACTTACGTTCTTACAAGGACATAAAACAGTGCAATTCACACTTAAAGGGCAAAACAATTTTTTTTCTGTTTGAAACAAAATTCCTCCATTTCCCCTGAACACCAGTTTTAGAACAAGTTGAAATCTTAAACTACACTCTTTGGGGCAGGTTAGCCGCTTTCAAATGTTGTATTTTTTCTTGCGTAACATGTTAACTCACTTACGCGATTATGTATGTTCAGTTACAGTAACTGACAATGCATATGAAGGACAAAAGAAAAAAGAATCAAACAAGCACAGAAATCAGGGCATTCTTATAATTAGGAAATGATCTTTTAGTCCAAAACTTAGTAGTCCAACAGGACAGAATCCTATAGAAAAAGTCAGTTACCCACACAGTAATTTTATGGTGGACTTTAGTAAGGAGAGTTCCTTTAATAAGCTAATTAAAATGCATGCCTTGTTTCTTTTTTTTGATCAAGTCAGGATTGAAAACCTGCTACCGCTATGACCATAAGCAGTACAAGGCCGAGTGCTAATTAACCTGGCAACCTCAGCAAGTGCCAACAGCTTCAGGCAGATGAGTGCCTAAGGAGGGTAGTGGAACCCTTGGATGGAAGAAATATCATCAAAAGGCAGATAAGCATCACCACTCAGTGATTTTGCCAATGGTAGACACAAACAGCAGACTGGGCTCTTCAGCTATAGCTGGCAACCAATCTAGGAATGGAGCCCTGAAAGGAAGGCAGATGGAAGACCTCTGCACAGGCAACTCATACAGTGTAGCTGGTTCCAAACGTACTGATGTCTGTCCTTCCTTTGGACCAAACCAGTGAAGCCAAGAGGGGGGACGCCAATACAGGGGCAAAGCAGCGTCTCCATATCAGCTGCCCAGGCTATTGCAGTCACACCACATGGAGAGGATACTCCATCCTTGCTGGCAGCATGGACACAACACAGAAAGTGGCAGCTACAGGTTATAAGTAAGCTCTTACTTGATTGGCATAGAGGACAGTACTACCTTCAATGGTGGGAGGAATCATCGTTTCCCACTGGTCAGCTACTATCCACCATAATGCTGCATAGTCCCCAGACAGTTAGGTGCTGACCCACAAGTCAATCTGCCTCATTGGGTGCATGGGGCTAGGCCAAAAGCTGAAAAGCAGACAGAAACCTCCTATCTGGCCAAAAAAACCCAACAAAACAAAACAAGAAACCAAGAACTTTCTGGCTTAAAAGCTGGAATGTCAGGACCACACAGAAGTCAGTCTTGATTGACCGTGAGCTATACAAACTCAACACTGATATTGCAGTGCTCCAGGAAAAAAAAAGTTTTGCAGATGCTGGTTCTATCCAGGAGGCCAATTATAACTTCTTTTGGTGAGGTAAAAGTGCTGTAGAAAGTTGCCTGAACAGCATCACTTTTGCTGAGTGTAACAAGTTGGTAAAGCTTATAGAAATACCCATTGGGAATCCAGAGTGCATTTCAAGACTTCAGACAACCACTGGTTCTGTGAACATCATCATGCTTATGCACCAATACTCAACTCCAGCCCCGAGAAGAATAAGTTTTGCAACACTTTGCACCAAGTGGTTAACGGAGTACCATCAATGGGGCAACTATTTCTCCTTGGAGACTTCAGTGCAGCAGTTGGCATGCACAACAACTCATGGCCAAATTGCCTAGGACATTTTGGCATCAGCATGATGAATGAAAAGAGCCAACTTCTTGAATTCTGTGCCCCAAACCAACTGTGCATTACCAACTAATATTTTGCTTGAAAAAATTGCCAAAGTGTCATGGTTACATCCATGATCAGGTCACTGGCACCAGCTAGATCTTGTTATTGTTAGGAGGAAAGAAGTACCTTCAGTGCAGGACACCCACATGTTTCACAGTGTTGACTGTAACACAACCACTCCCTCCCTGATCATTAGCGAAGTGAAGATTACAATGTAGAAACTACAGAGAGCAAAACCTAGAAGCAAGCTCAAAATAAATAAATAAATAAATAAAAATCACTACCACTAAGAGCCAGAAGACATGCCAGGAGTTTGTGAAGGCTTTCAAGCTCAGAATGTTTAAGAAATCACTACCAGAGAATGCAGAGGACAGTTGGGAAGGTTTAAAGAACTATAATCCACAAAATAGCTCAAGTCACATTTAGGCAAAAGAGACCGTCCAATAAGGCCTGGTTCAATGAAAATGCAAGAAAACCATTACCTCTCATCAAAATCAAGAACACAGCCTATCTGGAATACAACAAGAAGCCAACAGTGAGCACCGAAGTGAGACTTCGACATGCAGAAAACTAGGTACAGAGAGCAACCAGACACTATGCACATCAGTACTGGACTCAATTGTGAAGAGACAGCCAGCCGCAGACACAGGAAGCCTTAAAGTCATGTATGATGGTCTGAAGAAAGCTCTAGGCCCAACTGTCAACAAGGCTGCCCCTCTCAAGTTGTGCAGCAGTGAAACCATTACAGATAGAAGCAAGTAGATGTCTCATTGGGTTGAACACTACTCAGAGCTATACTCACAAGAAAGAAACAATCACCAGCGAATCACTGGATCGAATATCAACTCTACAGATCATGCCAGAGTTAGATGTGGAGCCCACTGTAGAAAACCTAAGCAAGGCCACTGATTCATTATCAAGCGGCAAGGCTCCTGGAAAAAATGGAATCTCAACAGAAATTCTCTAGTACAGGAAAGAAAGCCTACTACTTTATCTTCATCAGCTGCAACCCAAATGCTAGAAAGAGGGTGATGGATGTGTGGCAGGCCAGTAGGGGGCACTTCTGGGTTGAGCCACCCACCTCACTGCGCCCAACCACCTTCCAGGCTCTGAGTGCCTCCCTGGGGGTGCCTCACATCCGGCCGACCCCCTTCCTGGAGAACACCCACTAGCCTGGGGGTTCCACTGCCACCACCCGGGACTCTGGGCTGATTCTGACTCTGCGCACCCTGGGAAACACAGGCCGAGTGGCCCTCAAGGGTACTTGATTCACTTCAAGAACTTGGGATGCTTCCCTCAGTCAGAAGCACAAGTAGTGGTTTCCCTTAGTCAGCCGAACCAAGGGGATCCCAAGGCATAATCTAGACCCACTCCCAATAAGTCTCCCACAAATAGGTACAAAGGAGAACTTTATTGGTTACAGAGGGTTAGAATAGGGTACAGGGTAGAGCAATATCAGAGAAAACCCATAGAGCATCCCCTGGCTGGGTAGCCTTTGATCACACATCTGAGTTACTGCAAGCTAAATATCTAGTTAGATCTCAGGTAGCTTAGTCACAAGTATCATCCAGAGGCAGTTGGAGATTCCCTCTGAAGGCAGGCAGGCAGTTCAGTTTGAGAGTTTGAGAGATTGAGATTAAGGTACAGCTCTTCTTTGTCTCCAAGTCTCCCTCATGGCTGCTGCCCCAAGTCTCCCTCATGGCTGCTGCCCCAAGTCTCCCTCATGGCTGCTGCCCCAAGTCTCCCTCATGGCTGCTGCCCCAAGTCTCCCTCATGGCTGCTGCCCCAAGTCTCCCTCATGGCTGCTGCCCCAAGTCTCCCTCATGGCTGCTGCCCCAAGTCTCCCTCATGGCTGCTGCCCCAAGTCTCCCTCATGGCTGCTGCCCCAAGTCTCCCTCATGGCTGCCACCAGCGAGCAAACCACTCGCCCAAGTATATGATACTAGTCATGTAGGTAGAGGGCGCAGGTTTCCCCCCTATCTCAGGAATGTATCCACCTCAGGTTACCTAAAGAGATAGGGTAAAGGTGCGTCTCCCGTCTCCTCTGCTGGGCCCATCCTAATCAAATTGTCACAGAGCAGAG